ACAAACGATGTTAAAATGTTAAAAAAGCTGACATCAAGATCGGATCCTAGTCTTTTTCGGCGGGTAGATGTGGAGTTGAACTGAAAACGGCCAACGCTACTTCGATAAGAAATGACAGCCTAGATGACAGAAGAATAGGTCACCTAATTTAGCCATATTCTTGCTACGTTCATTTCATTAGTTTTTCTAGACTCTTAAACTCGTCCAGCAAGCTTATGGATTTGAATTATGGGTGTTTAAAAAAAAGAAGATAACTTGGCCAAAAAAAGTGTAGGCCCGGGCCTACAGTGCTACATACTGGCTACGCCCCTGCACGCACGCACGCACGTAAGCAGGTATACTTACGCACGCATGCACGCGCGCACGTACGCGGGAATACTCGCGCATGCACGCACGCACGCACGTAAGTAGGTATACTCACGCACGCATGCATACGCGCACGTAAGCAGGTATACTCACGCATGCACGCACGCACGCACGTAAGTAGGTATGCTCACGCATGCACGCACGCACGCACGCACGCACGCACGCACGTAAGCAGGTACTCACGCCCGCACGCACACACGCGCGCCCATCTCATCCGAACCTCTGAATCTGTCATTATTCTGAACGAAATAAATGATGAAGAAACTCGAATATTAATTAACCAAATTCAGGATACTGTTAGCTAGGGTTACGGACGAGTAACACTGTAAAGGGCATTGCTACACAACTGCTCATCGAATTCAATCAAACGCATATCCATTACATAAGAGAGATGTCTCTCTACGCTCTCGATGAAATTGGTCATCTGAACGAAATACGTGACGAAGAAACTCAAATTAATTAAATAAAACAATTAATTAACAAAATTTAGCCAATTAATCACAGCACTCAATCTTTTAAGACTGCATATCACAATCAAAAATCATGAACAATTCACAAGTAAAATACACGTACGGCTATTGCGATCTTAAATACACTATACATTCCCCATCTTTGTAAATATCTATGATTAGATTTAGTACGTGCGTTTATTAGTAACGCGCCCTGCTTGGAGAGCTAGAGAATATGGAATTCAACGTTGGTAACTCGATCATTCTCACTCAGTATCCTCATCCTATTTTCTGGAGGTGGCATATACTATACATTGGGTGTGCAATCGTAATGATCTCAACGACCTCTAGCTCGCATAGTAACATTTTCCCTGGCATAGTAGGGGAGACCGGGGACAATTGTAACACGTTTTTCCAAATCTGACATAACAACTTTATTATAGTTAAATACTTACTTTAATGTATATAAAATGAAAGATGCATATCTTGGCTTAAAATATGACTAGGTTTGGGTTAAGTAAAACAAGTTATTTTGAAGCCATTATCATTTCAAAACTGAAAGTCAAGTGTTACAATTCGCCCCACAACACGGGGCAATTGTAACACACCAATGGGGCAATTGTAACACATACAATTGTACCAACAAATCATATCCCTCAGAACAATTTTTTTAATTTTTTATAAAGGTGGCACGTTGGACAGATTTTTAACAATTAAACAGCAATTTATAGAACCACAATAAAACAATTTGAATAAAAACTATGACGAATGCTTGACTCATTTACATATGAATAAAATATATAAATAGGCTACTTATTGCCTTGTGAACAAAACATATTTACAGACCCATTAATTCAAAGTTATGTAGTTCTCATGTCTGAGCTTATAGATAGGCTACTTTTTTGCCTTATAAACAAAACACATTTCGTAAAACACATACTTTTTATACATGCCAAGGGGCAATTGTAACACGTTGTTACATTTGCCCCCGAGGAGACGGCCATAATTTGGGGGCTGTTTTTGTATCTTAGCATTAGTATTCGTCAATGAAACCTTTACCAAATACAGGCCTAAAAACCTATTTTTTTATGATATACAAATGACAATGATAGCTCAAGTACATATTTGTCCAGAAAAAAAACATTAGGTAATTCGAGATTTTACTTACCTGCTAAAAAAACGATGTTTTGGCTGTCAAATAGTCCAGGATGCGTAAACCTGCCTACCCGCAGGACAGCATGTGGGGCAATGAAATGTGCATGCGCTGTGAGGAGCGTATACATATAGCACGTTTCTATTAGGAATGAGGGCCTCTGTTACATTTGCCCCGTGTTACAATTGTCCCCGGTCTCCCCTAGCCTATTTAATTTAATTTCTTTTCTGAATATTATGAAATTTCTAGTTTTTCATTATGCACGATGCTTCGGTGAAATCGGAAGAGACATAGATGGAGTATAAAGCTAAATATAAACTCATACGCCTAGGGCTCTATACCCTCTGCCTTAACTGAAAAAATAATGCACTAAGTGGAGAAAAATAAAATTAAATCGATATAATTATCATTCTTTTCCTATAATTCCTCGGCTTGCTTCAGTACAACTGGTTGCAGATGGGGACTGTTATTCCCACCTCCACATGGTGAGAAATAGTCAACTGCGGCGTTGGGTGCCATCTAACTCGGAAACTAAAGATGGGTATCGTTTGTACGGTTTGTGTTACACAAAGAAATTACGCAGTGGCTACGCGTCCGGAATCGGTTGCCTAGCCTCCAGGCTACGCGTCCGGACATCCACTCACACCGTGATCGCGCGACTAGCGTACACGCATGATTGCGCAACGGGACGCTCTGCTGCCGTCTATCCTTTCATCCGTCCTCTCTCGCGCTCTCTCTCTCTCTCTCTCTCTCTCTCTCTCTCTCTCACACACACACACACACACACACACACACACACACACACACACACACACACACACACACACGCACAGCTCTCTCTCTCGCTCTCTCTGTTCTCTCCACACACACACACCACACACACACACACAACACCTCTCTGAGGCTCTCTCTCTCTCTCTCTCTCTCTCTCTCTCTCTCACACACACACACACACACACTTTTCTGAGGCTCTCTTTCTCTCTCTCTCTCTCTCTCTCTCTCTCCTCTCTCTCTCTCTCTCACGCATACACAACATACCAGGGCGTAGCCAGGATTTCAAAGTTGTAGGCACGACTATCTGAGCGGAGCGCGACCATCGCGTTGGCGCGGAGCGTACAAAAAATTTTGGTCGTTACAAACCCCCAGATGGCCGGAAACGGCCCTTCCGAGTGTTCATTCTGGTTCCTTACCTCTGCTAACTTGAGACACCTAATTCAATATCACTTTTAAACCCAAAAAACACAAACGCATTAAATAGTGTACAAACGAGTTAAAATGTTAAAAAACTGACAAGATCGGATCCTAGTCTTCTCGGCGGTAGAGTGTTGAATTGAAACGGCACGCGATAGAAATAAACAGCCTGATGACAGAAGAATAGGTCACCTAATTTAGCCATATTCTTGCTACGTTCATTTCAATGTTTTTTCCTGCCTAGACTCTTAAACTCGTCCAGCAAGCTTTATGGATTTGAATTATGGGTGTTTAAAAAAAAAAGATAAACTTGGCCAAAAATAGGTTAGGCCAGGCTACAGTGCTAACATACTGCTACGCCCCTGCATACACATTCCAATTCGCTCTCCTCTCTCTCTTTCTCACGCACACGCCACACAGACACGCACATTGCACACGCACACGCACACGCAACACGAACACGCACAGACACATCACACCACACCACACACACACACACACACACACACACACACACACGGCAATCAGCAGGAGTGCCCCATTGCGGAATCATGCGTGTACGTGTCGCAGCTCACTGTGTGAGACAGCGCGTAGCCAGGGGGGCGGTGGGGCGCGTCGCCCCCCCAAAACGCGCCTCAAATATTTGCCCAAATGGCTTAAATATTTCAAATTTTCTGGGGGGGGATGCCCAGACCCCCTAGCACTGGCATGGGCTACGCACGTGCCAAACGTACGGTGTCAAATTTGCCATGTGCGTGCCATGTGTATGCCATGTATAAATGTATGTACGTGTGTGTTGTGTGTGTGTTGTGTGTGTGTGTGTGTGTGTGCTGTGTGTGTGTGTGTGTGTGTGTGTGTGTGTGTGTATGCGTGTGCGTGTGTGTGTGTGTATATATGATGTCGTGTGTGTGTGTGTGTGTGTGTGTGTGTGTGTGTGTGGCAGGGCGGATCCAAGAGGGGTCGAGGGGTCCGGACCCCCCTTTTTACCACAAAAAAGGAAAAAAATCATACACACACACGCACGCGCGCGCGCCGCACGCACGCCACGCACGCACGCACGCACACACACCACAACACACACACACACACACACACACGCATGCACGCACGCACGCACGCACGCACGCACGCACGCACGCACGCACACACACGCGCGCGCAACACCACACACGCACACACACACCGCGCGCGCGCGCACACACACACACGCACTCTCTTTATATTGTCTCCTATGAAAAAATCTTGTTTAGCGCGTAGTGTTTTCTGATAAAGATTTACTTATATATATGTAATTCGTATATAAAACTTAGAAATGGGCAAGAGTGTCCGCAGGTGTCCGGGGGACCGGATTCTGATAAATTTTGCATTCTAGACATCAAAATTATGCTTCAGATGCTCTCAGAATGCACCAATTTTAAAAACATCCAACCCCAAACCCCCCCAAAGTGGACTTCGCAGCTTTTTAAAACACAGAAAAAGGTAACCAAAAAAAGTCGCCCTTTATTTCTTCTCTGGACACCCCTTTTCAAAAACTTCTGGATTCCGCCCCTGTGTGTGTGGTGGTATGTATGCTTCGTGCGTGCGCGTCGCGCGCGTGTGTGTAAATTATTGTTGGGCTTTACGCTCGTGCTAGTTTGATGGCCTATCGCCGGATCATCCCCCCCCACTCCTCGGTACGATTTTACGCCCCCTGATTCGCACGCTTCACGTGCTCATGCATTCGCCGCCCCCCCCCCAAAATAAAATCCTGGCTACGCGCCTGGTGTGAGATGGATGTCCGGACGCGTAGCCTAGCGGCTCCTCGTCCGGAACCAGTCGCGTAGCCACGGCCAATAAATTAATAGTATTAGTAGTTAGATTAGTGTCTCTATATATTTCTGTGGTTACACAGCGTTTACTCTGTACGTTGAATAAGCTCGGCCCATGCTTATAAACAGCAAGCAGCTCTGTGTGGTGAACAGCGTATGAAGTGTAAGGCTTGTAAGTGAGCGGACAACCCACACCGTGCACTTACTTGGGCTGATAGGGTCTATGTCCCCCAGAGTACTATCGGAGGGTACCCTGGGTACGGTTCGATATATCGGAAAGTACCTCGGGGTACTATACAATATGTCGCTGCGTACCCTGCATTGCCCCACCGTACCCTGACTTTCACACACACAGTCTGTGAAATAGCACAAATATTGAGATTAATTGATGAATCATCAATTAATATGAATAATTTAGAAAAATTAATAAAAGCTAGTAGTCTCGTAGTTTAATGGTATTATTGTAATACTATCATTACCATAAATAAAAATGGTTTGATATTGACATCAAATAAAAAAAAAATCAATATGCACGTGACGGCGGCAATACCTTGCGGCGGTAATACCTCACCCACCAGTATAGGGGAGAAGCGTAAATGTTGTCATCCACTAAAAATTATCATTTTTCGGCAAAACCATATGCATATGGTTCTGCATGATTTTCATGATCAGTTGGCTGAAAGTCAGGGTACGGTGGAACAATGCAGGGTACGCAGCGACATATTGTATAGTACCCCGAGGTACTTTCCGATATATCGAACCGTACCCAGGGTACCCTCCGATAGTACCCTGGGGGACATAGACCCTATCAGCATTATTAACCGGCAATCCAGTTCAACGTAATAGGCGGATCCTATTAAATTGGTTCATCATCAAGCTGTATATGGGAATATTGCATGCTTTTTTGGGCAATACAGTTGATCAGTTGAGCAGCACTGACGACAAGGAGCAAAGGCATCAATGAAGGTATGATGACTAATGAAGAGGGAGTCTTGGTCACGATTCAAACATAACATCAACATATTCGGGGAGCAACGTATCAGACGATTCGAGGAGCAACGTATCAAATGATTCGAGGAGCAATGTATGAAACGATTCAATGAGCCACGCTTCTAACGGTACGAATAACCCGCGCTTCAATCAACACGGACGAACAGCGGCATCAACCAACGAGGAATGAGCCACGGATCAATCGTCATCCGGGAATCACAACAGGACTTTAGACATAGATCATAGATAAGATATACATATATGTCAGACAAATTGAAGTAAACGGTACCGTATATATTTTCTATATTCTATATTTTATCCAGATTAGTTATTCTCAGCCTATGTTATTCTTATAACTGTAAATAAATTTATTCATTGTATAAATAAAATATAAAGACTTTGTTTCATTTCACTTTGGCGTTTTTGTATAATCAAACACACTATTATTACTCTTATAATTACTACTACTACAATCTACATTATATTATTAGTGTTACTAGTACCATAATTATTACTATAATAATTATTAGTTATAATAATTATCATTTTTATTAATTACTTGTCTCAATAAATTTATATTTATCTATATTCTATATTTTATCCAGATTAGTTATTCTCAGCCTATGTTATTCTTATTACTGTAAATACATTTATTCATTGTATAAATAAAATATAAATACTGTTTCATTTCACTCTGGCGTTTTTGTATAATCAAACACA